AGTTTGTTTCTAAACTTCTCGTCTTCGTCTCTTCGAAACTTTTCATTTCTTCAGCATCAAAGAGAAACTGGAGCGAAACATAATTTTCACAATCGTCAACATTATTGAGAAAAAGTCTTCAGGAGAGAAGCAGCAGCAGCTGGAAGTAACCTGAGCTGTGTGTGTGTGTGTGTGTGTCTGTGTGTGTCTGTGTGTGTCTGTGTGTGTGTGTGTGTGTGTGTGTGAGGTGAAAGTGCAGGCTGGTGTTGAGTTTCAGGAGTTTCAGGCTCTAAGTGAATGAAAGCGAGCAGCAGACAGACGGAATGAGAACTGAATGATTCTGTGAACAGACGGAACAAGACTTCCTGTAAAAAACATCGAAGGACTCTGTTAAAATAAAACTCACAAATTCAATCTACGAAACAACAAAATGTGAATGTACAACAGTTGATTTAAATATTTAAATCACTGGATATAGGTATGAACAGTTAGTCTTACATTATTTCTATGATACGATATTAAAAACATATTTCGAACAGAGGAAACATAAAAAAAAATCTGATTTATAATTAAGCTGTTGCATTTTTAATATATAAGAAAATACACAAACCAGCAGTTTTCTCCAGGCAGTTACATTTGATTAGATTTGAATGATTCATTTATTTATTTGAAACTGTTTTGTGTCAATGAAACTCGTCAGATTCATTGTTTATAATTAAAGACAATAAATCGTGTAAATGTGAGAAAGGAGCAGATACAGTGGACGATCTGAATGAGATTTAATTTCCCTCTTCATTCAAAATTAGATTTTCCACATTAGAAACATTGTGTAAACGTTAAATCAGCAGATTTTTAATGGAGGCTCTGAATTAAATCTTATTTTATTTTATTTTTTTTAAATAAACACGTGTTCCACAGTCACTTCTGTCCACATACTTTTGGCCATGTGATGTGTCAGAGACGGAGCGAAGCTTTAATCACTGCGTTTCAGTCTGTTAATACTCACTGACAGTTTGTGGAGCCGCAGTTAACAGAGTAATGATAGTACTTAGCAGCTGTGTGTGTGTCTGTGTGTGTGTCTGTGTGTGTGTCTGTGTGTGTCTGTGTGTCTGTGTGTGTCTGTGTGTGTGTAATCAGATCCATTAGCAGAGTCATTGGTCATATAGCTGGTATGGTGGTTTGTGTGTGTGGGTGTATATGTGTGTTGAAGGCGGATAATACATTTCTTGAGCACACACACACACACACACACACACACACACACACACACACCCATATCTGTAATATAGTTGGTTTATCTCAGAGGAAATGGCAGCCTCACCCCCCCTGCACACACACACACACACACACACACACACGTTGGACTGGACCACACATTTAATAGTTATTTCAAACACACACACACACACGGACATGCACACAATACTCTGAGGTATTGCATGACATTGGAATTTCAGGCAGCTGGATGCAGGCGTGTGTGTGTCTGTGTGTGCGTGTGCATGCGTGTGTGCGTGCATGTGTGTGCGTGTGCACGTTGATATCAGGTTTCTATGGCTGACCAGTGCCGCAGAATAAACAGGAGAAAGGTTGGATTGTTTTTCTGCAGAACTTCAGTTTGATTTCACACAAAGTGAAACCTGAAGAAACGTTTTCACGACTGATGTTTCAAACCTCAGTGACGTTAACTAACAGATTTTAACGAACAGATTTTAACGAACAGATTTTAATGAACAGATTTTAACCAACAGATTTTAATGAACAGATTTTAATGAACAGATTTTAATGAACAGATTTTAACCAACAGATTTTAATGAACAGATTTTAACGAACAGATTTTAATGAACAGATTTTAATGAACAGATTTTAACGAACAGATTTTAATGAACAGATTTTAACGAACAGATTTTAATGAACAGATTTTAACGAACAGATTCACGGTGGAACCTCTGATCTGGATTGTTTAAAGAAATAAAATTAATTCTCCACAGATGAAAAACCTTTGAGTTCTAAATGAGCAGATTTCCAGTAGAGGTTCTGATGAATTAGGATTATTTAAAAGATAAAGATGATTTAAAATGGACAGATGCCAATCGAGGTCCTGGATTCTTGTTGATTCTTATTTCTGTTTTTTAAAAACAGAATTCATGATTTATTATTACTTTGGGTAAATGAAGCTGCTCTGAGAGGGAGGAGGACAGAGAGAAGAAGGAACTGAGAGAGAGAAAGAAGGAAGGAAGGAAGGAAAGGAGGGGAGGGATTGAAAGAGAGGAAGGAGGAGAGGTGGAAGGGGAGAGAAGGAAGGAAGAGAAGGAACAGAGGAGCTCTGTCTTTCTTCAAACTGAAGTCGATCTCTGACGTCATGAATCACTTAAAGCGTAAAATCAACAGATTTCCAGATGAAGTTCTGACTTTGTTCATGAATTAATCTGAGAATAAATTTCACGTCCATCTGAAACAAATTAGATTCAGTTATTTCATTTTCACAAATAAAGACAGTTTGAATCATGAACCACGAAGACACGACGTCTCTTTGAACGTCCAGATACATTTTCCTGATTTCACTCGAATTTTTCTGTGAGTTTTAAAAACTTTTATTATCAAACTGAGAAACTTCCACAGTTACAGAGTGAAGGTCAAAGGTCACATGTCAGAGAGAGTGACTGTGTGTGTGTGTGTGTGTGTGTGTGTGTGTGTGTGTGTGTGTCCTCGGGCTACGTTCAGAACAAAGCGGGCGCTGACAGTTTGAAAACCACTCGGAGGTCAGAGGTCAAAGGACAGAGGTCATTTCCTCCGTGGCACCCGGCTCTTGTCGTAGGAGGTCTCACTCTGTCCGACTCTTCAGGACACTGTCACAAACAGACGAAGTATCCCAGAATGCATTTCACATCATTGTGAAGATGGTGATAATCCGGTGTGAAAGAGAGAGAGAAAGAAATAAAGGTTTGTGAGAGAGGGTAAGAAGGAAAAGGGAGCGAGAGATGAAAGAAGAGCGAGAAAGGAGGGAGGAAGAGAGAGGGAAGGAAACGTAGGAAAATACAGAGAGCGGTGAAAAAAGTGAGAGAGAGCAGGAAGAAGGAATGGGGAGAAAAAGGTGTGAGGAAAGAAAGAGGAAAAATGTAGAGAGAGGAAGAGGGACAGAGAAGAGAGAGAAAAAAGGATGGAAGGAGTTGGGAGTTGAGAGAGGAGGAAGGAAGAGAGAGGAGGAAGGAAGAGGGGTGGGAAAAGGAGGATGAAACTGAGAAGAAAGGAGGGTGAGAGAGAGAAAAGATGAAGAGAAGAGAGAGAGAATCCTGAAGGTAAGATAGAGAGAGAGAGAGAGCAAAAGACGAAGGAAAGAAAGACAAACACAAAACATTAAAGGATAAAAACCAATAGTGAAAAAGAAATTGAAGAAAATAACAAAGGAGAGATGAAGAAAGTGGAGCGAGGGATGAAGGAGGAGGGTGTGTAGTTCAGAGTCTTCTCAGTGTGTTAATTAGCTGTCTGCTCGTTAAGCAGCCGAGCTTAATTAGAGCTGAAGAATACACACACACACACACACACACACACACACACACACACACACACACACATACAGTCTGCACTGAGGCAGCAGGTCTGACTTCCAATCGTTACACAATCCTGTTTGGCGGAGAGACACACACACACACTCTCAGCAGCAGAGCGAGGGAGGAGATGTTAAAGTAGGACACTGCAGCAGACACTGAACACAACACACACACACACACACACACACACACACACACACACACACACACACACACTGGTTAAAATCCTCGTTTCCTCATCTCAGCTGAATTTTTCTGAAACTTCTAGAAAAATATCACGTTCAGTTTTTCACAGGAAGCAAGAAAAATAAACAATCGTTTCGGTTTCGCAGCGACGCTCGTCTCAGATTCATGGATTGGATGCAGCCGGGCTAACAGTTCCCACCTGCTGCCAGTCTTTGTGCTAAGCTAGGCTAACCCTGTCCTGGACCCACGTGCAGACGAATAATTCATTTCTCTGATAAACAAACATTTAAAGTTTCAAGCTGCTTTAATTTAACCGCTCACTGTGTTTTCTACTGTTTTTGTTTCACCTTCCTTCTTCTTTTCTCGTCCTCTTTCATCTCTGTTCCCTCCCTCCTCTCTCTCTCTCTCACTCTCTCTCTCCCTCTCCTACACCCCCTCTTCCCTCCTCTTCCTCTGTGGTGTTTTTCTGGGTCACACTCTGGGAGGGAGGTGGAGGTTTGAGGAGATTTGGGGGGAATCTTATTTTAGTCGCTCCACATTTTCAAACCGACGATTCTTCTCCTCGTCAGCCCTCCGCAGCGTTTCACACAGTCACAGATTTATACATATGATCATCACCATCATCATCATCACCATCATCACCATCATCACCATCATCACCATCATCATCATCTTGGTCTATTTTTATGCAAATTGAAAAACACTTTTGCTTCAGAGTGAGACCTCTCTGCAGCTGCTGGGAACATTCTCATGATATTTTCTGTGGACGTTCGTGCTCCACAGAAAATGAATTCTGACATTTTCCTCTCAACCATGTTAACTCGCGTCAGACTTTAAAACGTCTTCCTCCGCTGAACCGCGGATCTTAGACGAGACGTCAACAGGCGGAGCGTCTGTGAGCTTTGGTCACGTTGTCGGTGTTTGGTTAAATTTAACAAAGAAGAGATTTCTGCATCAGTTTTATGGAATGCAGGGAAATAAGTCAGAGGTGTTTTTCCAGAATCATGAGGAAATAGATGTTATGATATTTGTTGTGTGTGTGTGTGTGTGTGTGTGTGTGTGTGTGTGTGTGTGTGTGTGTGTGTGTGTGATGCTGAAATGATGTTAAAAATCTGCACTCTTCATTAGAACTCACTCTTCTAGTTTCCTGTCTGACCTTGCAGCTTGTTAGCTTGTTAGCATTCCCTGTTGTCTTAAATGGGAGTGTTAGCACCAGGCTAACCAGTGGTTTTTCATGTCGGCATCTCTCCACGCGTGTTGATCCCGTGTGTTTTTTACGTGTTTCAGATCCGTGTGGATGGGATCTCGGCGCCGGCCCAGAATGCTCTGCTGTACGAGACGGTGACGGTGGTGGAGGGGAAACCGATCCTGAGAGACATGGTGTTCAGTCCAGACCATCAGTACATCTACCTGCTGAGCGACAGACAGGTACACACACACACACACACACACACACACACACACTGACCTGAACCTGAATCAGAGACTTGAATATTTGTTGTTTTTATAAATAACTCACCCAGAGTCTCTTGAGTTGCTTGAATTTGTTAAATCATCAGATTTTCAATGGAAGTTCTGCATAAAGGTTTTTTTAAATAAATAAAACAAACATCTTCAAGATGAATCAACAGAAGGTTTGACTTGATTATTATTATTATTATTATTATTATTATTATTGAGACAGATGTGACAGACTTGCTTTGTTGAATCATTTCCAATGGAGTTTTGACTTAGGACACACACACACACACACATGCCTGTGTGTGTGCATGAATATGAATTCTCTTGTTTTAACATCTGCAGACAGGAAGTTGTGAAGTGAATGTGAAAATCGTTCAGCCGGCACCACCATACACACTGTGTGTGTGTGTGTGTGTGTGTGTGTCTCTCATGTTAAAACTCTTATTGTACCATTGAGAGGAAGCAAAGCTGAGTTCAATAACTGTTAGTTCCTGTGCAGCTGATGACACACACCCACACACACACCCCCCCACACACACACACAGACACACACTTCAACAGAGTTTTGTGTGATGTCATTAAACAGATGTTTATCTCTGTGTCTCTGAACATTTGTCTCTTTTCATGGATTCATTTTTTAAAAATTTTGACGCTTCATACGTCCACACATGCGAATAAACGTGTGTGATCATGTCTGAGCTGAACCTCGACCAGTCAGAACAAGACTGGGTGAGACGTCCGCCATGACTTCAGACAGAATAAGTCGAGTATAGGTAGAAACAGGTGACGGCGACAGGACGTTCCATCAAATGAAACAAAGCAACAACACATGAGGCTTGTTCAGACTCAAAATGTTGTCACGTCTAAATCACGTCTGATTACCTGAACACATGAACGAACAAACCAGAACCAAGGTCTGATCCTTCTGATAATCAAAGAGACGTCTTCTCACCTGACGTCTGAACCAAGCTTCATGTCTTTGTTCCATTGTTTACATTTCACCTGGTGAGTTTGGGGTTCATGATTCTAAAAGTTAAAAAAAGGCGTCAATAGATTCTTTCATATGTTTTAGTCTGAAATGTAGGAATGGTTTATTTTCGAGGCTCGGTTTATTTTATTTTATTTGAAAGTCGATGCATCAGATCAGTGAATAAAGTGAATGAACGTTCAGAGAAACATGTCAGATTCTTAAATGAAGTCTGGCAGAAGAGAAACAGCAGCGCTGTCTCTTTAAAGAGATAATGAGGTCAGAGGGACTCCCTGTGTGTGTTTGTGTGTGTGCGTGAGTTCGTGTGCGTGCATGTGTGTGTGTTCGAGACAATGAATGTATTCATGTGTGAACGTCTGAATGAGACAGACAGAGCATCCACTGTCTTTCTCTGTGTTTACTGTCTCCCTGCTGCAGTGACTTGTGGGTATACGATATGACACACACACACACACACACACACACACACTCACACACACTCACACACACACACACAGCACCTGCATCAAATATAGATTAATCCGCCGCTGAAAATAGTCCTGTCACTTATATTCCCTCTTAGTTGTTTGATCGAAACAGGAAGTGGACGTGGACACGAACCAAACCAATATCTAACCAATATCCCCCCCCCCGTGTGTGTGTGTGTGTGTGTGTGTGTGTGTGTGTGTGTGTGTGTGT